CAAATTTGTCAAATATTTCGTTTAAATTAAACAAACTATTTAAAAGTTACACTAGATACAATAAATAAATGCGTTTTGTGTCCCCTGAGTGCACTTCTCTGATTTCAAATGCATTTTTAAGTATACCGAGTTGCTGTAGGACTTTATAGTGTTAGAAAAAATTTATAGATTATTTAATTTTGAACAAATTTGCAAAACATTCCTATTAACTTTAATGACCATTTCTAAAGTTACAAGAGATATAATAAATGAGTGCGTTTTGTATTACCTAGGCTCATGTTTCTGATCCTAAATGTTGTTATTTTTCATTTATTAATTAACAATCAATAGATAAAGAGCTGGTAAGGCTGTTTGTAACAACTATTTATTTTTAATTGCAATAATTAATAAATACAACTACATGACTTAATCTATTAACAACTATAGGTTTACATTCTAGATAACAATTTGTTATTAAATTTGCTCATGATCTCGTTCAGCATTTCTTTTGCTTTTTGCTTGAGCAAAGCTTTAGCAATTTTGCCATGGGTCAAAACTGGTAGTTCGTCCAAAATGTATAAACCACCTCGGAGTTTCTCGTAATCCTGGACATTTTCTGACGAAAAGAACCAAATTTGGTTATTTACTCAAACCAAAGGTATCATCATTTTTGGGTACTTACCATTGGTGTATATTTCCAATTCCTGGGCAGTAACCTTGTCTTTGTAATCTGGTAAAAGTTCAACAAAACCGACCATCAAATCGCAAACTTCGTCATTTGGTACAGAAACCACTGCACAACTTCTTACAGAAGGATGTCTTGATATCACAATTTCTATATCACTTGGATTTATCTACAAAGTAAAAGACTGATGACTGCCAAATATTTATATTTATATTTATATTTAAGGAATGCAATACCGGTATACCGAATTACTGGTAAACCGCCCGATTTTCTGGCGGTATTTTTACCGGTATTTATCCCAAAAATACCGGTATTTTCGGTATTATTACATAAGCGCTATTTGACACATAATACACTAAAGTTTAAATTTCTCGGAACAAATTTATCTTTAAGGGCACAACTAGTATGAAATTTCGAAAAAATCGATTTTTGTTTTTTTCATATTTCGGTAGATTACACCTTTAAAAATAACATATTAAAATTTCAAATCGATACCTCAAATAGTTTTTGAGTTACAGCCATTTAAAAAGTATATAAAATATTGTATAACGATTATTTTATATTTCTCGAAACAGCATTTTCCGAATTTGCTGCAACGATTACTCAAAAACAAATGATACGATCACTATCGAATTTTTTTTACATGTTCTGTATATAGTTCTCCGTAAAATGAACTATCGATTTTTTGATCGGTTCAAAAATCGATTTTTGGCAGTCGAAAAACGACCGAAATTTTGGGTACAATTCGACTTTTTTTAAAAAAAAACGCCGCCATTTTGTCAATTTTTGATTTATTTCGTAATCATATCGTAGTTCATTTTACAGACAATATTATCTAGTTTAACGAGATTTTTTTTTTTTTATTTCATTCACGTAGAAGGCCGGAATCACTGCAGCAGTTAAGGGCCTTTTTTTGTTGGAGATCGACGATAACTTTAAAAATATTTAATTTTTTTCTTCAAAAATTTTACTATGTGTTCTTAAAACATGTATAAATATATTCCTAAAATTTTGAAATAATTGATAAAGTAGTTTAGTTTTTTTAATATAAATTTCCAAAAATCACCTTTTTTGAGGCGGTTACACTAGTTGTGCCCCTTAAATTCCATAATCGCATAAACAGCTATATCTTCAAGTGATTTTATAAGAGAAACAAATGTCAAATATTATCTCAACTCGTCATTAAACTGAATATTTATTGCTTTACTAAGGGCTTCATATCGTGTTACAATAAATAGAATTAGACTGATAGATAATTATATTTGTTTCATCTTATGTAAAAATGTAACGGTTTTTTAATTGATATTTGCGCCAAAATATTTTTTGTCATACAGATTACCCCTGCGTAATCTTTAATTTTTTCTAACTTCATACATAATAATTGTGATAATTACTAAATATGTTTGCTTCTTATTGCAATTATAAAATATTATTTTTCGAAAACGTTTCGTAGTTTGAAAATACTATAGAAGCATCGCATTGTTTTAAATAACAATACTCAACAATTATAGTAACTAATTATTTATCTCGACAACGTATCCGATTTTAGGTTTGTGTAGAATTTTTTTTGTAAATATCGGAGATTATGCTAATTTAACACATCGGATACAGACAATACAGTTTATTATAATAATGTAATATGATTTTTTATGAGTTTTTGGTCTTTCTTACTCATAGGTTTGTTTTTGATGCAAAGTACTCAATATACTCGATAGTGATAATTAATTAATTAAAATGGATATAATTTTGTTAGTTTATTATTTAAAAAAAATAAACTTATTGTTTTATTTTATTGTTTAGTTGGATATAGTTGTAGTTGTATATACATTTTTTTATATTTGTACTAGTAACTTTGGATTTTGTTTACGTTTGTTTAAGATAATAAAAATACCGGTAATTTACCGGTATTCCGGTTTTAAAATGAAAAATTACCAAAATATCGGTATTGAAATTTTCCATCGGTATTGCATTCCCTATTTATTTTTATATTTATATTGGACCCACAGTTGTCAACCGAAAGCTTACATAAATTCCTTTGTATTTGGCAATCTCCTTAATTCTATCAGTGACGTACACATAGTGATCTTCATCATAATAACCGATGTCACCAGTTTTAAACCAACCAGTTTCTGGATCCAAAACTTCAGAAGTTGCTTCAGGACGACCATAATACCCTAACATTGTAGGGCCACGTAGATACATCTCACCTTGCCGATTTGGCCCTAAAGTTTCTCCTGTAGAAGTATCCACAATCTACAAAGGTAAAGGATACATCAGTTGGTCAAAAATGGCAGTTGATGATCTAAAAAACTTTCTGCTTGTATTGACAAAACAATTGCTTTTGAGGATAAAAAATTATTACATCCTTTTTATATTTTCCATAAAATATTTTTGTAATTTTGGGATTAAAAATTCAAAAAATAATTTTCTATATTTATTGCTCAAGAGTGAAATATCGAATTCAAAGTCGTTTTATTCAAAACTTTTATATGGGAGTGTATAAAAGTGTTTCTTAGGAAATGTTGTAAATTTTATGTAGTTTCACCCTGTCTAACTGAATAGGGGCAGTTTTATATGAAATTTTTGTTTTTTCACATTCACAAATTTTGTATGTGGAATTGTATAATCTGCGTTTTTCCTCAAATTTTATAGAATTACAAAAAATTATTATGACATGTTTCATAGAAAATTTTGTAAGCTAAAAAAATTGCATAATACTATTCTATGATAAAAATTATCAATTTTGAAATATTTGAGAAGAACTAAACATTGGTCATCCGTAATTCCAGAGCTTTTGCAATTTATTTTGCCCTAAAGTTTTCATTCATATAAAATATGTTATAATACGTTATATAGTAATTTTTATAGGCTACAAAATTGTTTAACACTATATTACAATAAAAATGCTAATTTTTTAAATAATTAAAAAAAAATTGTCAAGGCGACGTTGTTCAAATAGACTCACAGAATGACATCTAACATTAGAAAATAAAATTGGTTAAAAAAATTAAGTTACAAAAAACTTGTAATATGTCTTATAGTAATTTTTATAAGCTACAATATTGCTTAATACTATACTGTAATAAAAGTGTTGTTTTTTTTTTAAATAATCTAGAAAATCTAAAACATTTGTCATATATCTCTGAATCCACATCTAGTTATTAACTTCCCGTAGAGTTATTGTAATCGTCCAAAAATCGAAATTGAAATTTTTTATATTTCTTTACGTTTTAGGGGTTTCTGAACATTTTGGCACACCTCAGAAAAAATGGATGTGTGTGTGTATGTGTGTATGGATACAATTTTTCGTCCACGTTTTCGGGCGCACGGATCAACCGATTTGAATGATTCAATTAGCAATGACGGAGAGAAGTGGTGGTTAGTTTTTGGCAAAGGCAGGTCCAACGGTTTCGGAGATACAAAGCTAAATGTGCAAAAAATGACAGTTTTTTAGAAAACTAAGCGTCCAATTTGAATGATCTAAAAAAAACCTTCTACTTGCATTGACAAAACAATTGATTTTGAGGATAAAAAATTATTACACCTTTTTTATTTTCCATAAAATATTTTTGTAATTTTGGATTAAAAATTGAAAAAATTACCCAGGCTAAGCACAGTCTAAGCGCCACTCTGGTGCGAATGCTTACCCAAGTGCGTTTAGACAGTTTTTTATACTGGAGCACTTTTCCAATTTTGTGAAAAACTATTCAAAAATGTGAAAATGCCGCCAAGCTAAGCACAGTATAGGTGAAAATGTCGCACAGAATTATTTGCAAATGCGTTTAGACTGTGACTATACGTGAGCACTTTTTCAATTTTGTGCAAATTAGGCAAATGTTTTTTTTTTTAAATTGAATTCGAAATGAAATGACGATTGTTAATGTTCACCAAATTGATTTATGATTTACATTTGATTTGCTCAGATATAACAAGATAGCAAAAATAATGAAAGCATCAGTATTTGTTATTAACGTTTAAAATTTCTCGAATATTTCATTACGGTACGGGAAGTTTTGGAGCAATTTGCCTTAAGACACGATGCCATACACCACTAGTTTTTGGTGTTTTTGATCAAAAAGCCTTACCTTTAGTTCTGTGTTCATCAAAACGTGTCCAACAGTTCCTGGTCTATATTCTGCACAAGTTATAGTAGTAGTTCCACCCATACATTCAGTCAATCCATAAGAAACCACCAATTTACCATTTTTCAAATGTTTTTGCATAGTTTCGACCTGTTGTGGTGACAATTTGGAACCAACAGCAAACAGCAACATTACATCTAAAACAATCAAAATCTACAATCACATTTAGTTCAGTAAACGGAGAGTTTACTCTGAATTTTTTTACTGTGCTCCAATTTGCATGAAATTTTGGCATTAGGTTCATTTTAACCTCAAGTTCAAAAGTGAAAACAATTTGGGTTGCGACCCCTTAATGAATAAGTGACTATTGAGCCGTTTTATCGCTAGAAAACGTTTTTAATATTAAAGGATATAATTGAAAAATATTTTTAATACATTTACCTTGCAATAAAATCATTTTCAACTCCGTGAAAACCCTAAAACTCTTCAAACAACCTCTAAATTGAAAAAAAAAACTTAAAAATAAATTTCGGTATTGTATAATAAGAATTACGTATAAAGTAAATAATATTTCATATTTTCTACTTGATTATCAAATTTTTAACCATTTTTAGACCCCGTGATGAAAAATTGTTCGAAGAAATTATTTTGAAATTGAAAGAAAATTAAGAAATTCAAAATGATATGAATGGTATTTAAATTTTTCGAAAATAATTACCATATCCACTCTTAAAATTACCCATTGATTATACGTTTTTTTATACATAAATACACATAAGCATATATATAAAGTAGAACGTCGATTAACCGGACTAATTGTTGTCGGTGGGCATTCGGATAATCGAATGTATGAAGAATAATGCTGTGTATTTATTAAAAATAACAATTACATACATAGATATCAATGAAAATCAATGTTTATTAAGAAATTAATACTTTTTTATGCATGTACGTACATATTTTCTTCGATTACATTACATACATGTACTAAATTGCAGTATTAATTGTTATTCTATTAGTTTTCGGGTCATAACTCCTTTACTTTCGGCTCCATCACAATTTGTAATATACCATTTGAAAGGTTAATAAAAGGGCTACAACTTTTTTTATCATAATTTTTTTCGTAACTCCTCTCATTTTGAAACGGCGAAGGGTTAAAGGGCTCGAGAGAGACTCTGATTGCGCGGCCGCGCACTCTTTAAACAATCATAACTCTGTAAAAACAGTAAGAAGCCAGAAAGATCCCTTAGATTTTTATCTATATGCTTTTATACGTATTTTTTATTCTTTTTGAGATATAATGAGAATAAGTTTGATTTAAAAAAAAAAACGGAAAAAAAGTTTTTATAAAATCGTGAGTTTTCTGAAAATATTTTGTACAAAAGTAGTGAATCTGCTAGAATACATCAAGATGTCTACAGTAAAGTGAATTCTAGATGGAATGAGAATTACTTTAATTCTGGTGGAAATGGCGCTCATTAAACCATATGATTTAAAAGAAAAAAACATCGTATATGCTTCTTATTTGCATGATAGCTCACTCATTTTACACGCAAAAAACTTGTAACAGGACTCATTTTAAAATTTATGTTGAGAACTATAAAACGCAATTTCACCGAAATGCATAACATGTAAAACTTCGCCACTTCGATGGATTTAAATACAACAATTAAATCTTGAACGAAATAAAAAACGACTTTGCTCTTTCAAATCTAGCTTGATATTATTCCTAGAACACTTTATGTAACACCGATTTATTAAGAATTTTATTGACATTATTTTGTTCATTACATGATTTTCGTTAAAATGTATATTTTAAGAGATATTTGCAAAAAACGAAGAAAAACGCTAAAAATATATGAATTTTTAGTGGCCAGTAACTTAAAAAGTATTAGTTTTTTTAAAAAAACTTTTTTTTTTATTAGTTCTTCTATCGATTTCCGGCGTTATTTTGAAAAATGTAATTACAGAATAGAGAAAGGGTGTCATTTTCAGAATTGTTATTACTTTTGAACTTGAGGGTAAGATGAACCTAATTCCAAAATTTTATGCGAATTGGAGCACAGTAAAAAAATTCAGACACAAAACGCTCCGTTTACTGCACTAATTCCTTCACAAATTCATTTATTATATTACTAACCTCCAAATGGTTCTGCAAGATCTTCCTTATCTTGTAAATACAAATTCATCAGAGACAATTGGTAAGAAGATAGTAGCATCAGGCCTGGCTGGAAAAAATTGGTGTCAGTTGGTGACTTATTGGGTTTTGATGGGTTTTTGGTGTTACCTTGTATTCGCGCATAATTCTTAATAAGTTTTCTTCGTTAAATGGTTCTTTGGTAAAAGCTCGTCTGGCTCCGCCGATTAATCCGGAGATTAATATGAATAATCCGGAGCCCCAAGACATACCGGAGTTTGTGAAGACTGTCATGCCGTTTAGATCGGCTCTGGAAAAAAAGTATTAGTTAATTTATTTATTTATTTATTTATTTATTGATAAGCAAGCCGTAATCAATAATAATAGATATTATTCCAGGCTCTTGTCATAGAAACTAGGACAGCTAGTTCATATGTATAATGAAGTATAAAACAATATATACATTTAATTCATGTATAAAACAATATATACATTTATATATCTTTTTTTATTTTTTTTTTTATTTTTTTAATTTTTTAATTTATTTTTTATTATTTTTTCTTTTTTTCTGTTTGTTTTTTTTTTAATTTTATTTTTTATTTTTTGCCATTTCGCATACAAACTGGGTCAGCTAGTATATATATGGTCATATATAAGTCAATATATGCATTTATATATCCAATTCCCATACAAACTGGGACAGCTAGTATATATATGGTCATGTATAAATCAATATATACATTTATATATCTAATTCCCATACAAATTAAGGCAGTTAGGCCATATATAATCATGTATAAATCAATATATACATTTATATATCCAATTCCCATACAAACTAAGGCAGTTAGGCCATATATAATCATGTATAAATCAATATATACATTTATATATCCAATTTTCATACAAACTAAGGCAGTTAGGACATATATAATGATGTATAAATCAATATATACATTTATATATCCAATTCCCATACAAACTAAAGCAGTTAGGCCATATATAATCATGTATAAATCAATATATACATTTATATATCCAATTCCCATACAAACTAAGGCAGTTAGGCCATATATAATCATGTATAAATTGATATATACATTTATATATCCGATTCCCATACAAACTAGGGTAGTTAGTATATATAAAATCATATATAAATCAATATATACATTTATATATCGAATTCCCATACAAACTAAGGCAGTTAGGGCATATACAATCATGTATAAATCAATATATACATTTATATATCCAATTTCTATACAAACTGAGACAGTTAGTGTATATATAGTCATGTATAAATCCATATATACATTTATATATCCAATTCACATACAAACTATGGCACTTAGGCCATATATTATAATCATGTATAAATCAATATATACATTTATATATCCAATTCCCATACAAACTGAGACAGTTAGTGTCTATATAATCATGTATAAATCGATATATACATTTATATATCCGATTCCCATACAAACTAGGGTAGTTAGTATATATAAAATCATATATAAATCAATATATACATTTATATATCGAATTCCCATACAAACTAAGGCAGTTAGGGCATATACAATCATGTATAAATCAATATATACATTTATATATCCAATTTCTATACAAACTGAGACAGTTAGTGTATATATAGTCATGTATAAATCCATATATACATTTATATATCCAATTCACATACAAACTATGGCACTTAGGCCATATATTATAATCATGTATAAATCAATATATACATTTATATATCCAATTCCCATACAAACTGAGGCAGTTAGTGTCTATATAATCATGTATAAATCGATATATACATTTATATATTTAATTCCCATATTTTATTTATTTTATTTATTTATTCATAAGCAAGCCGTAATCAATAATAATAGATATTATTTCAGGCTCTTGTCAAGCTTATTCATAATTAATATTAAAAGGATAGTAATTTTATAATGATCATAGTAGATGCACAAATTTCGCTTCTGAAAAAAAGAGCTGAAAAAAGCATTCGAACATTAAATACAATGTTCATCATCAAGTTCATCATATTAAAGTCTATTTGACCACCAGTCAAGCTCAAAATTCTTGCAAAAGGTTGAATGTTATACCGTATAAATGTTAAATTAATAAAATAGCAATTAATGGCGTGGGAAACAATTATTAATGTCATGACATTTTGTATAGTTTTGATAATGATAATTTTTAATACATTTTTATAAAACATAGAAATATATTTCTACTAATTTATTTATTTCTGTTACCCCGACGTGATACAATGAAGATAGCAATTGATCATGGATCAAGAATTGAACTAGTTGGTATTGGTATTTAGCCTTGAGGCAAGTTACATGAACTTCCCGGTATGTGTAAATAATTGACTTAATCAATATTGAACAAATTTATTTATGAGCGATTAAGAGTATTCCGAGTGGATATATTACACATAATTGAAAACGAATGAACACGTTAACTCGGAGTATTTTCTAAAAGCAAATCCTTCAATTGTAATATTAACAAATGTCAAAAACACTACTCATTTTCTCAAACTTTGATGAATTTTCAAAATTAAAGTACTTGTCGTAAGGCCGTAATTTTCAGTAAGTGCTATAAGACCATGATATATATCGCCAAAAAACGTTCCATAAAAATCGGCTTAAATTTTTTTTCCAACATTTAATTAAAAGGAAACGGCTCGTTAGATTCTCACCTAAAACTAATCAGTATCATTCTTAACTAATATCTTTCAAACAGTTTTTGATTTTTTAAAATCGATTCAGTAGTTTGAGCTTAAATGTGGACGAAAAGTTTAACACTTTTTTTCAAATTACAAAGAAACGGTTTGGCAGATCGTCTCACATAACTGACAAACGATAGTTCTCATTGAGATACATCAATTGGCTTTTAAATTTCTAAAATCGGTTCAGGCGTTTCTGAGAAAAGGTCGATCAAAGGTCTAATTTTGACAAATGCCAAAAGAACGATACTAATTTTTGCAAACTTTGATGAATTTTTAAAGCTAAATGAGTTATTGTAGGGCCATAATATTTTAGTATGCTCTAAAAGACTATGGTATCTACCGTCAAAAAAATAATAATAAAAATCGTCGATTTTTTTTGTTTAAAAACTTTATTACAAGAAAATGGCTCCGTCGATCTTTACCGAGAAGTAATCAGCACGATTCCCAACCAATATCTTTCGAACGGTTTTTGAATTTTCAAAATCGATTGAGAATTGCGGGCTAAAACGTAGACGAAAAATTTTTCACTTCACTTCTCGAGATTCATCAAATGGCTTTTGAATTTTTAAAATCGGTCAAACCGTTTTTGAGAAAACGTCGATTTACGGCAAAAAATCTGTTCACATACACGCACACACACACACATACTTTTTCCAAATTTGGTCTCATTCGATTCAGAATGGCTTGAAACGTCGATAAAACATAAAATTAGCGAATCGGATTTTTTGATGAAAACATAAACTTCTTCTTCGGGAAGTTAAAAAACAATATAGACTTCTAACTGGTCTTCCGTTGGCTACTTAAAAGGTACGCCCAGTTCTCGGGTTAACGAATTTACTCTACCCCTGACACCGGACTTCCATTGGCATACTCATTCTGTATGTTCAGATTTCGGGTTATCGCTGACACCAAAAAGTTCACTGGAATCGCAATTTAACCTCTCCTTGTTCTTTAACTTTTACAAAATCCTTTAACTTACTCTCTTAAAGGTGTAATCAGTTGGTGCAAGGCTGCATGTGGTACCATAACACCTTTTGGAGTCCCTGTGCTTCCACTTGTACAAGAAATTGCTGCTGTCGTCTTGTGAATGTCCTCGATGGTTGTAGGCCTAAAAATAGATCAAATTTAGTTACGAACTCAAATTTGGATACACTTATTTTTAACTTCCCGTAGGGTGGTTATAGTAATGGGCCAAAAATCGCAAATAAAAATGTTTGCATTTCTCGACATTTTGAACGTTTCTGAACATTTTTTAAGGCATACCTCAAAAAATATGAATGTGTGTGTGATTCAATTTGTAATGATTGGCAAGCATAATGAAAATATTAGAAAAAAAGAACTCTACTGACGAGCAAATAAGAATACAAAAAGAAAAAGGGACTCTACTGACAAGCAAATGAAAATTTGTAAGAAAAAGTGACTCTACTGACAAGCAAAATTTTGCTTAAAATATTTTGAAAAGCGACTCTACTGACGAGCAAATTAAAATATGAGGACAAAAGGGACTCTACTGACGAGCAAATGAAAATATCAGAAAAAAAGGACTCTACTGACGAGCAAATAAAAATATTGGGAAAAAGGGACCCTGCTGATGAGCAAATAAGAATACAAAGAGAAAAAAGGGACTCTACTGACAAGTAAATTAAAATATTAGAAACAAGGGACTCTACTGACGAGCAAATAAAAAGACAAAGAGAAAAAAAGGACTCTACTGACGAGCAAATTAAAATATTAGGACAAAAGGAACTCTATTGAGGAGCAAATAAAAGTTTGTAAAAAAAGGGACTCTTCTGATACGCAAATAAAAATATTGGGAGAAAGGGACCCTACTGACGAGCAAATAAAAATTTGTAAGAAAAAGGGACTCTATCGACGAGCAAATGAAAATATTAGGCAAAAGGGATTCTACTGACGAGCAACCTGAAGATTTGTAAAATGACAAAGGAGTTTTAAGAAACTGTAAAGAGAAAAAAAACCTACTGACTAACAAATGAAATTTGGACCCGGTAAAATTTGGCAAAGGCAGGTCCCGCCATTTCGAAGATACAACTTTTTTTATTTTCCATAAAATATTTTTGTAATTTTGTGATTAAAAATTGAAAAAATTACCCAGGCTAAGCATAGTCTAAGCGCCACTCCGATACAAATGTTTACCTAAGTGCGTTCAGACTGTTTATGTAGTGGTGCACTTTTCCAATTTTGTGCAAACTATTGAAAAATGTGAAAATGCCGCCGAGCTAAGCACAGTGTAAGTGAAAATGTCGCACAGAATTATTTGCAAATGCGTTTAGACTGTGACTATGAGGGAGCACTTTTTCAATTTTGTCGCAAAATTAGACAACTATTTTTTTTTTTGAAATTGAATTCGAAATGAAATGACGATTGTAATGTTCTGGAGATAAATCGATTTATGATTTATGATTTACATTTGATTTGCTCAGATATAACAAGATAGCAAAAATAATGAAAGTTACAGTATTTGCAATAATATATTTGAAAACGTTGAAATTTCTCGAATATTACGGTACGGGAAGTTCCAGCAATTTGCCTTAACTCACCTGTACGTATCCAAATCCTCAGACTGTCCAAACTCCTCCACCAACTCCTCATAAGTCTGATATCCATAATTAGAGTCACCTCCATAAATAATAATATGTGTGTCCTCCAACCCATTGCCGTTGATTACTGGGATCAGAATTTCCTCAGCACTCACGTGACAGAATATAATTTTTGGTTTCAGCAATGGTATGAGAGCTGGTAACACAGTTGCTATAGAAAAAACAAAAAGTCAGTAAAATTGGAATCAAAACTGGTGGTGAATGGCATCATTTCGAATTAAATTTCAAAAATAAAAAAAATAGTTGCCTTATTTGTACAAAATTGAAAAAGTGCTCCCGTACAGTCACAGTCTAAACGCATTTGCAAATCATTCTGTGCGACATTTTCACTTATACTGCGCTTAGCTTGGCGGCATTTTTACATTTTTCAATAGTCTCGCAAAATTGGAAAAGTGCTCTAGTATAAAAAACAGTGTAAACGCACTAGGCGAAAATATTTGTACCAGAGTGGCGCTTAGACTGTGCTTAGCCTGGGTAATTTTTTGAATTTTTAATACAAAATTACAAAAATATTTTATGGAAAATAAGAAAAGATGTAATAATAAAACCCTACGGGAATTTAAAAATACAATAAAACATTTTCAGATAATTATAAATATGATTTGTTTTTTTTTTAAATGAGAGTTTAGTTTGGACATTAAATCAGCATCAAAAATTAATAGTTTTGTTTTAAAATAGTGATTAATTAAAATAAAAATAATATAGTAACTGAAATAAATTTATAAAACAGTTATTAATATCTTTTAAATGCAATTTGCTATATAAGTTTACGTGTGACATCATTATTATTTATTTAAAAAGTTAGAATATTTGTAAATTTAATCAAAAATAAAAGGTATTAAAATTTTCCACAAGTAATAAAAAAAATAAAATTAAATTTTTCACTTAACATTCTAATTCTGTTATTAATAAGTATAATTATTTAAAAATATTTAAATATTATTAAATAATATAAAGAGTGTAGTGAAAAGTGTATTATTGAATTTAAATTATTAAATTTCTATAAAAATAATTATATTGAGAGATTTTTTGTTTAAAATTATGTTAGTTTAAATAAGTGTTTTTTTTAAAAGTGGTTTCGAGTTAAAATGATTTATTAACAAATATTTTGTTTATCACAAAGTTTATTTATTATTCAAGGTAAAATTTTACGATTTTCTTATAGATATACTTATTAGCAAATATTTTGTTTAACAAAGAATGATAAATTATTTAAACAAATAAATTTAAATTTATTATAGAAGAATAATAATTTGGGGTAAATAAATTTTTTTTAAATTTAGATGAATTATATTAGAAGTGCTAAAATAAATTTTAAATATTTAATATTTAAGTGTTCCCTAGGAAATGCTGCAAATTTTATCTAGTTTTGCCCTATCTAACTGAAAGAGGATGGTTCCATATGAAATTTTTGAATGATATTTTATATTTTAAACTAGTGGTGTATGGCATCGTGCCTTAAGGCAAATTGCTGGAACTTTCCGTGCCGTAATGAAATATTCGAGAAATTTTAAACGTTTTCAAATATATTATTACAAATACTGTAACTTTCATTATTTTTACTATCTTATTGTTATATCTGAGTGAGCAAATCAAATGTAAATCATAAATCAATCAATTTATCTACTGAACATTAACAATCGTCATTTCATTTCGAATTCAATTTCAAAAAAAAAATAGTTGCCTTAATTTAATTTGCGCAAAATTGAAAAAGTGCTCCCGTATAGTCACAGTCTAAACGCATATGCAAATAATTCTGTGCGACATTTTCACTTACACTGTGCTTGGCTTGGCGGCATTTTCACATTTTTCAATAGTTTCCTCACAAAATTGGAAAAGTGCACACACACTCCAGTTCATATAAACAGTCTAACCGCACTTGGGTAGACATTTGTACCAGAGTGGCGCTTAGACTGTGCTTAGCCTGGGTAATTTTTTGATTTTTTTTTTAGGTATGCCAAAATGTTCAGAAACCTTTAAAACGTCGAGAAATGCAAAAATTTTTAATTTCGATTTTTTTCGTTAATAAACTAGATATCTCTTTACTTACATGCAGTCCATCCAGCGTCTAAAACATTAATAGCTGATCCAGAGAATAATGTACCTATTGCAACTGAAAAGGCTTCCAAAGATGTTTTTTCGATAAGGGTTATGACGTCACTTGGCACTATACCACGTGATAGTAAAGATAGGGCAATCGTGGCGCTCGTTCTGCGGAGCTCGTTGAAAGTTACTTCTTGTTTTGTTTCTGCATCTACCTGGAATTTAATTGTTGTAACTCTTGTAACTTTTGAATGGGTTGTTGGATTTGAATGAAAATTTGAGAAAATTATTGAGAATTGAATTATCTGTAAGTTTTGTTTATAAGAAAATGCTCTAGAGCAACTCGGTGTACTTCAAAATGACTACGAAAATTAGGAGGAAAAATATGTAAGTGTGTAGTAATTTGTGTATTGATTTATATTTATTATGTATATCTTGTAACTTTTGAACGGATTGTCGGATTTGTATAAAATATTCGGGAAATTTGTTGAAAATTTAATTATCTGTATGTCTTGTTTATATGAAAGTGCTCTGGAGCAACTCGGTATACTTTAAAATGTATAGGAATTTTAGAGAAATATTTGAGGTACAGTGATTTGTTTATGCATTATTCAGTATATCTCTTCTAACTTTTGAACGGGTTGTCTGATTTGAATGAACTATTTGGGAAATTTGTTGAAAATTGAATTCTCTATAAGTTTTGTTTAGAAAGCGCTCTAGAGCAACTCGGTATACTTCAAAATTGCAAAAAGAAGTACAACATCAGAAATTATTATGAAGTACATGCTATGCTATTTATTTATTGCATTTCTTGTAACTTTTGAACAGTTTATCTGATTTGCATAAAATATTTGGGAAATTTGTTGAAAATTGAATTCTCTATAAGTTTTGTTTATACGAAAGTGCTCTAGAGCAACTCGGTATACTTTAAAATTGCAAAAAAAGTACGACATTAGAAATTATTATGAAGTACGTGCCTTACAGTTTTGTGCTTTTATTTATCATATCTCTTGTAAGTTTTGAACGGTTTGTCGGATCTTATTGAAATATTTGGGAAATTTGTTGAAAATTAAATTTTTTATAAGTTTTGTTTATAAAATTTTGCTCTAAAGCAACTCAGTATACTTTAAATTTTCAAAAAAATTGCAACATCAGAAAATATTCTGAAGTACATGCTTTACAGATTTTTGCATTTATTTACTATGTCTTGTAACTTTTGAACGGGTTGTTTGATTTGAATAAAATATTTTGGAAATTTGTTGAAAATGAAATTATCTATAATTTTTATTACAGCAACTCGGTATACTTTAAAATTGCATTTAAAAAAAGCAAAATAAAAAACTCTCTTACATATACTTAGTTTTGTTCATTGATTATCATTAGTTATCTTATTTATTATTATTATATCTTACATATTATTTAATATTTAGTTATCTCTTGTAACTTTTGAATGGTTTGTTTAAAGTTAATAAAATATTTAGCAAAAAAGAAGTACAAAATTAGAAATTATTATGAAGTACATGCTTTACAGGTTTGTGCATTGATTTATCATATCTCTTGTAACTTTTGAATGGTTTGTTTAAAGTTTATAAAATATCCAGCAAAAATGTTGAGAATTGAATTATTTGTAAGTTTTGTTAACAATATAAATCTCTACAGCAAATCGGTATACTTTAAAATTGCATTAAAAAAAAACAAAATTAAAAACTACAATTCTTACATATACTTAGTTTTGTGCATTGATTCATCATATCTCTTGTAACTTTTGAACGGTTTGTCTGATTTGTATAAAATATTTGGGAAATTTGTTGAAAATTCAATTTTCTATAAGTTTTGTTAACAACATAAGTCTCTAGAGCAACTCGGTATACTTAAAATAGTTTTTAATTTAGCAAGACAAAATTAAGTCACTGTGACTTGTTTTTGCATACTCAAGAAATTGACTCCTGAAAATATTCTCATTCAAAGGCTATTTTAAAGTATACCGAGTTGCTGTAGAGCATTTTTGGGTTAGACAATATTATGAACAATTTAATTTTGCTCAAATATTCTGAAAATACTATCAACAAATATTAAACAAATAGTTTAAAAGTTACAGAAGATTTGCCAAATAAATGCACTGCATTCTATGCTCTATATACTTAATGTAAATAAATACTACTCGAAACAAACTTCTGTATTGAAGAGCGATTTTAAAGTATACCGAGTTGCTGTAGGGCATTTTGTATTAGACAATATTATGAATAATTTAATTTTGCACAAAATTGCCAAAAACACTATTTGGATTAGACCAAAAATTCAAAAGTTACAATTTGCCAAATAAATGCACTGCACACACTCTATATAAGTAATTAATCTAAATAAATACACTCGAAACAAACTTCTGTATTTAAGAGCGATTTTAAAGTATACCGAGTTGCCTGTAGGGCATTTTTGTATTAGACAATATTAAAAACAATACAATTTTGCACACAATTTCCTAAAACAGCAAGTGGATTAAACAAACTATTCAAAAGTTACAAGAGGAGATATGATGAAAAAATACACTCTATATACTCGTAAATATTCTATATATGTAAATACACTCACCACAGTAGTCTGTATTTCAAGGTAAATTTAAAGTATACCGAGTTGCTTTAGGGCATTATTATATTAGACAATATTTAAAACAATTTAATTTTGCACAAATTTTCAACTAAAACAGCAATTTCATTAAACAAACTATTCAAAAGTTACAAGAGATATATGATGAATAAATACACTCCATATAAATATTCTATATGTAAAACACTCATCACAGTAGTCTGTATTTCAAGGCAAATTTAAAGTATACCGAGTTTCTGTAGAGCATTTTTGCATTAGACAATAGTTAAAACAATACTATTTTGCACAAAGTCGCTAAAACAGCAAGTGGATTAGACTAACTATTCAAAAGTTACAAGAGATATAATAAACAAATACACTTTACATTCTGTACATTTACAACACACTTGGCACTTCAAAGCTATTTTAAAGTATACCGAGTTGCTGTTGGGCGCATTTGTATTAGACAATATTAAAAACAGTACAATTTTGCACACAATTTCCTAAAACAGCAAGTGGATTAAACAAACTATTCATAAGTTACAAGAGTATGATGAATAAATACACTCTATATAAATATTCTATATATGTACACTCATCACAGTAGTCTGTATTTCAAAGCAAATTTAAAGTAACCGAGTTGCTCTAGAGTACGTATTTCAAAGCGATTTTAAAGTATACCGAGTTGCTGTAGAGCATTTTTATATTAGAAAATATATAAAACAATTTAATTTTGCACAAAATTTCCTAAAACAGCAAATGGATTAAACAAACTATTCAAAAGTTACAAGAA